GCAAATCTATTTCCCAGAAGTTATCCTACAGATATACTTTGCCAATGTACAAATTAGTGTGTATGTATAACATATACGTCCTCAACCAATTCAGGACTGATTAAATGAATTAGGGTACATCGATACACTAGACTACTATGCGGTTTTGCTTTAATGAGGAAGCACTTTATGTGCTGATATGGAAAAAATTCCAAGCCATACTGCGAACTGAAAGACGATAGAGAAAATGTGCAAGTATGCTAAGTTACATGTAATGAAAAGTTGTACACATTCGTCCGTCTGTATGTATAAAGTATCTCTGAAAGTATATCCAAGAAGCTAATATGGTATTAGATCAAAATCTAAGATGCACTATTATTTTAAGGCTCAACAACTGTCACTAAGTTATGGCCATATTTTTTTATCACATAGAATTATATTATTTTTTTCCATCAAATTTTTTTCCATTGTGGTGAAAACAGACACAACAAAACATATGCCATTCAACAATGTCTACACACAGTGTATCTTATTATTCTCCAAAGAGCTCTTTTAGATTTAGATACAAATATTTATAATTTACTCGCATCTGTGCTTACATAAAAAGGAAAGTATTAGTAACATAAATATATATTATTTTCACATATGAAATCTGCCTCTTCTGAATCATTTTCAACTCATCTGTTGATATAATATCATCCTCTGTGCCATTAAGAGATTTCTTTTAAAAATATTTCATTATCGTCTCCATGATTTTCTTCCAAGCTGTATGATACAAAATCCTTTGTATCTCAGTAGTGAATCTTAACAATTCAACAACTTATCACTGTTAAATTTACTTTTGAGAATCTTCTTTTTTAGGTGTTGTTAAACAGTACTTCTCTCACTTCGTTACGCATATAAATCTTGGGGATCTTTTAATATGCTCTTTTCTGATTCAGTAGTTTGGGGTTGCAGTCAGTGAGGCCAAATACTTTTAAGTGGAAAAGGAGGTTGTTGCTTTGCAAAAAAACACGGGATTGAGGTCACTCTTTCAACTCTGCACATGTACTTCACTAATGACGACTTTATATCCCACAGTTCTGTCTGAATGCTTTTCCTGCATTCAGAGTCACTTTTCATTTCAATGCTGAATTGCAGTGTTATCTTTTTAAAGCCATTTTAAATAGCAATTAAACAGAACACATAAAGCTCAACAAAACTCAACTAAAGTTGCTATGACAAGTTCACACACATGCAGCCAATGGTAACTATGTCACAACTGCTGCTTCGTCAACAATAATTTTAAGACGCCATATACTATGTAAGACATACCCCAATTTTTCCAGAGCTGTTAAAAAGCAAAAAGAAATGTCTGGTGACGTGTGCAGAAGGAACTGTGTGGCTGGAATAGAAGGAACATTTTCTCCCCCGTACAACTTTCCATACATTTTCAATTATTAAACGTTTTAAATAAAAATATATTAGATAATTAAAAGCTATGCAGAAATACTGGCTAATTCAATAGACCTGTTCTTGAGCTATTAAAAAAACATACATAGGTGATACTCTTTTACACTTAAACTATGATAGGTGTTTTGTAAAGCCTGAAATGAGGAAGGGGGTTTAAAGCCCCCATTATCAAAAGCATACTTTAATTTTATGCTACATGTCTATGACCTCCTTGAGAGCAGAGATCATATGAGCTTATTTCCCTTTCTATCTCTAGGCTGCAATGAGTAAAGCAGTGCATGACTTTTGACAAGAAACACAAAAGCTCTGAGAGCATTCACACCGACTCTACAAGATAAAGAGACAAAACTGTAAAGTCTTAAACCCTAAGCAAACTACTAACTAAAAATGGCACCTAATAAATCAATACTGGTAACCCTTTTATCTCCCATTCCCTGCCCTTTATTTTACAAGAACTACATGTTTAAG